CAGCTGTGCCCAAGTTTATGCATCAAAAGAGCATCATGAAAGCAGGGACGACAAATAGGCAAACTGGTGAAATGTGAAATATATATATATTCCACTCCTACTCTCAGTGCCTATGTATTAAACAAACAAACGAACAAAAATCTTATGAATGTATTGCTGCCTTTACTGATATCATAATGACTAAAGAGTTTCCCCATGTTCAGTAATTCCTGACAGTCCACTGTGTGCCACTGGAGGTCATTTCTTTGTTATGAGTAAGTGTCTGATTTCCATGTTCGGCCGTCACCTCACTGGATTTCATACACACACATATATATTTTTTTCTTTTTAGAGAGGGGAGGGGTGGGAAGGGAAAGAGGGAGAGAATCCCAAGCAGAGGATTAGACACAGAGCTAGATTCTACGACTGACCACGAGATCATGACCTTAGCCAAAATCAAGAGTCAGACACTTCTAATGAGCCACTCAGGTGCCTCTGGACTTCATTTTGAATAGGAAATCTTGACTGAAGAAAGTCACAAAGGAAGACACCTTGCTTTTAGGCTAAGTAAAATATTTCTAGGGTGGAGAGACATATAACTCAATTAGGCATCATTCTATATATTCTTAATATCCAGAGATAGTAGTCTTATTTGGGTTATGATTAATGTAGGGTAGACATCATCTAATTTCACTGTATACCTAAAAGTCATGAAAATAACAGACTTGCATCATTGATTAGGCCCTTATGAAAGTCTTTTAGACAGGTATGCTTGGATTTAACATTTAGAGGGTTGAGCAAGAGGGAAAGGGAGTTGCATTTAGATAGCCTGTATGGCATATTATCTCAGAGCATGAGATCTGAGATCAGAGATCAAAGCTGAGCACAGGCTTTGCCGTTTACTAGTTGTGTGACTTTGCACAAATTAATCTCTTAGCATTTTGGTTTCTTCATCTCCAATATATGGATAATAGTTCTGAATTTTTTCCTGTTTCTCAGATTAAAATGAAATAATATATGCAACGTTTTTGGCACAAGGCCTCACACAGAATATGTTCTCAATAAATACGTGCCTTTTAGCATTAAGTTGTGCCAGTTTTTCTCTGTTATTGTATGTCTTGATCTTTTTCCCCTGGAGGTTTAATTCTGCCAGTTGGATATGGCCAATGAAAGGTTGGGCAAGAAATGAGAGGGTGGGAGGAAAAGAAGGGGTATTCATTTCCCCTGCTCCCTCCTGGTGGGGCTTCAGTTTGGGCTCTAGCTGCATTCCTCTTCCTATGCCCCAGCTCCTGTCCAACAGTCCCTCTCCCATAGCTAGAGTTCACAGTCAACCTGACAATGCTCCCTTTTCATGCCTAGGATTAGTAATGGCTTTTCTTCCCACTGTTACTTCAGATGCTTTCTTCTCATTATTGTTTGTCCTTAGGTGCTCCACCATCTTTTGTCAGTTCCTTTAACTGCCTCTGTAAACAGTCCCTTTATTAAACTTTCTTCAGTTAAATCCTTTATATGTGTCACTAGTTTTTGCTGGGACTTTGACATACATAAAATAACAATCTGTTGACAAATCATTTTAAAATATCGTTAAAAGCTAATACAAGACAATTCTTAATCCAACGGGAAGTTTATTGGGATGGTGGTGGTTTGTTGTGGTGATATAAGCCTACATTTGTGAATTTTTTTAATGCTTATTTACTTTTGAGAGACAGAGCATGAGTGGGGAAGGAGCAGAGACAGAGGGAGACACAGAATCAGAAGGAGGCTCCAGGCTCTGAGCTGTCAGCACAGAGTCCTGAACCTTGATATCATGACTTAGGCTGAAGTTGGAAGCTTAACCCACTAAGCCACCCCAGGCCCCCCAAACCCACATTTAGGTAGCCTACCTGGCATATTATTTCACAGCATGAGATTCAAGATCAGAGATCTAAGCTGAGCACAGGCTCAACAGGGGGTGGTGGAGGGAAAGGTGGAGTTCTCTTCCACATGCATAAAACAAGATCATATCCACAGTATCAAAATGAGCGCGAGGATTACGGAGAAAGTAAGGAAACGTGATTGGCTATCATGGGAAGTGTACATTTTGGGGTTTTGGTAGGCAGAATAATGGTCTCCCAAAGATGTCATGTCCTAATCCCTAGAACCTGTGAATGTTACCTTATATGGCACAAAGGACTTGCCATGTGTGATTAAATTAAGGATCTTGAGACAGGGAGATTATCCTGCATTATGTAAGTGGGTCCAATGTAATTAGAAGGATCTTTATAAGAAAGACTCAACAGGGTCAGAGTCAGAGAAAGAAATGGATGATGAAGCAGTCAGAGAGAAAAATTTGAAGATGCTATACTGCTGGCTTTGAAGATGTAGGATGGACCCACAAGCTAAGGAATGCAGGTGGCCTCTAGACGCTGGAAAAGGCAAGGAAATGGATTTTCCCTGATAGCCTCCAGAAGACATGTAGCTCTGTCTGCACCTTGATTTTAGCCTAGAGATACTTCTTACAGAACTGTAAGACAGTAAATTTGTCTTATTTTAAACCAATTAATCTGTGGCAATTTGTTACAACAGAAACAGGAAACCAATACGGGCGTAGTAGGAGAGAGAGGGTGCTGGATTAGAGCAGACCCTGAATGGTCAGTTGAGAATTTTGGATTTTATCTGAAGACAATAAAGAACCATCAAAGTATTTTTGTTTGTTTGTTTTACTAAAGACTAAGATATAATTAAAATTACTTATTAGGAAGATAGATTAGAGGTTGGGTTCAGATTGGCAGCAAGAGCACTCTACAGGAGTGTGCACTGGTAGGGATGGTGATGAGACCCCAGGTTAGGGGTGGACTCTGAACTGACCAGAAGTTTCCAGGAAAGCTGACACTATGATGACTCACTGGAAGACTAGCAAAGGAGAGGAAGAAGTCAAATTTCAGGTCCTTATAAAATGGGCATATTATAGTACATATGAGGAACTGACTGATTCTGAACAATAAATTCTAATTTAAATATGATTGACTTTTAGGTACATGCACATATACACATACACAAAAAGGACTTAAGTATTATAATTTAGGGTGCCTGGGAGGCTCAGTCAGTTAAGCGTCCAACTTCGGCTCAGGTCATGATCTTGCAGTCTGGTCTGTGAGTTCAAGCCCCACGTTGGGCTCTGTGCTGACAGCTCAGAGCCCAGAGCCTGCTTTGGATTCTGTGTCTCCCTCTCTCTCTGCCCCTCCCCCGCTCATGCTCTGTCTCTCTCTCTCTCTCTCTGTCAAAAATAAATAAACTTTAAAAAAAATTTTAGAAATATCTATATGTTATTCTTCTTTAAGTCCCTTTCTGCCTTAATATGCCTTACCAACAATTGCAGAAAACCCACAGCATGCAACTTGTGACTGTTTTAGGCATGGGTAAATAGAGCAGTTAAACCTAAAAGATCTTCAGTATACGAAATCATAACTTTTTGACCTCTATTTTTTTAAAGTTTCATTTTAAAGTTTATTTATTTTGAGAGAGAGAGAGAGAGAGAGAGAGAGATGTGAGCAGGGGAGGGGCAGAGAGAGCGAGGGAGAAAGAAAATCCTAAGCAGGCTCCAGGTGCAGAGGCTGAGAACAGGGCTGAAACTCACAAACAGTGAGATCATGGATCATGACCTGAGTTGAAATCAAGAGTCAGCTGCTTAACCTACTGAGCCACCCAGGGCCCTCATTCTTTTTTTTTTTTTTTTTTTTTTTTTTTTGCGGAGGGGGGATGCGCAAACTTCATTTGATCCTTTCTGCACTACTGACTGCCTTTTTGGTAAGTTGAAAAAGGTACAACTTGAATAGTCAGACAACTTCAGATTTTACACAACAACAAAAGGCAAACAACCTCTAAAAAGTTTGAGCTGGAGAGACATCACATAGGTCAAATAAGTGTAAAGGGCAGTGACAGTAGCTGGTAAGTTAAACCATTCACTGGCTGTAAAGCTGTTCAGAAGTCTCTACTGTTTGGATTACTGGACACTTCCTGAGTAGTAGAAAATGTTTGGATGAAAAGTCAGTAGCTCATAATTAACTCTCTTAATACCACCTCACTATGTAAAACGTTTTGCTTACTAATAATCCATTTCTAAGAGATCTTCGTAAGAGGTAACCAGGCTTGAACATCCAAATCAGGGTAAACCGGCCAGGTAATTCCCGTTTTTAATGGCAAAATGCTGAATTAACTAGTACTCAGAAGCATGCCAGCAAAAAAGACACTGAACACTGAATATTGATGATATGCTAAACCCAGCCATTAACCAAACCATTAATCAGGTCACTTTCTTTCCAGTTTTCACCACTACAACTTCTCCCCTCAGTCAGTAACTGGTAAAAAAGATCTGACTGTGGGTTAATCATTTGGAAAATCTTAGGAGTGATATGATTCAACATTTTTCTGAATTGGATATAACTTTGTATTTCCAGTGTTTTTTTAAGTCCTCATGAAAAATACCTTTTATACACACGTAACAATACGATACTTTGCATTAAAAAATGGTCTGCTCTATGACAGTTACACAGTAAAGGCTCTCTATCCCTTTCTCCATTTCAAAAAGTTCCTCCTCATCCTTGACAGCAACAAAATGCAAAAATGCCCACCCTTGAGTAACCAGAGGGTAGGAACTTTGCATATAAATCAGGCGCCCTCTAGTTTCTTCCCTCCCGAGGAGCGGGGTTAGGAGGGGAAAGGCCATTCAGTAAAGTCCTAAAATACAGTGTAAACTGTCAAAACAAGTCTGTAGAGTCGCATCTACCTTGTCAAGTTTTCAGCGCTGTCTCCCTGCTACCACCGAGGGGGAAGGTTTTGAAACACATCAAAACGAGTAACGAAAACGAAACGCAGAAACTCCTTTCTGTACTCAGACCTGCCCAGACTACCTGAGCGCCCCAAACTGGACCAGCGCTCCATCCACCCCTCTGGGCCAGAGCTCTCCGTCTCCCTCTACCCAACAACCACAACAAGCCCGGAGCCCCGCGCGCAGATGCCCAGAGACAAGCAGGGTCGCTCACCGGTGAGGAGCCAGCAGCGGGCGACAGCCAGCCCTGGGCTGGCTTGGCGTCGGGGGGCCATGGCCCGAGAGCCCGCAGAGCCCGGGGACGCGCTGGATCGGCGGGCAGGACTCGGCGGGACTGGGAACGGAGCCGCGCGCTCAGGGCCACTCTACCGCCGCAGGTCTGCGTCCGGCCCCGGCCAGTCGCGGCGCGCAGAAGCCGAAGAGTGAATTTCCTGTGTTTTGGACGAATGCCTCTGAGTCCTCTCCACGCTCCTCATATCCCAGACTTACTGCCCCATCGCCCGCCCCTTCGCGTGCTCGGTTTCTGAAATCCCACTGGCAGTCTCCCAGGCTCTGTCCGAGACATGGACAAATAAAGCCAGCTTCGCGGGTTCGTGTTTAGGCTAAAGTCCACCAGCTACAAAGCAAACCTTAAAGGGATATCTGCCTTTCATTGAGAGGGTGATGCCGCCCTCCGGCTAACTCCCTACGGTGGCAGGAAGGCGGGCGAGGGCTGGACCTTCGGAGGGTGTCGCCAGTGCAGTGGCCCCGCCTTCACACCCCTAACTTCTCCCCTGGGTCTGCTCGGGGAGAGTACTTTCAACGTGCCCGGGCTTCTCGGCCCTTAAGGGGAGGCTGCTTCCCTGGGGCCCGATTGCGCAGAAGGAATTCGACGGTCGCTGAGAGTGAGCAGGTCTGGTCTCCCCACCTCGCTTCCTGTGGACACTTGAACTTCGCCGTGCTGTGGTCTGGCGCTAAGCGTGTGGATGTGGGAGGGGAGGGGGCGTCTACTCCCGCACGCCCCCACTGAAAGGGTTTTGCTTTCCCTTATGGAGGGTTTGCTTCGTTTGATCGTAGTTAAACGGTGGTTGCAGATAAACTTTTCTTTGGGAAGACTTATAAGTTGGAGAAAAGGAGAAGGAAACAAGAATGGGAGAAAAAAGAAAAGAAACAGAAATGCAAGAGGGAAGAGGGAGGTTAAAGAAGGGAGGAAGACAGTCTCTTCAGAAACGGTATGTGTGTGGGCTATTTTGTTTAAGTTGAATGAGAATGTCTGTACACTGGGAACTGAATCTAATAAAGAACCTGGGGACTGTTTTATTTCTTCTTGCTGAAGACTTTTATAACTAGGAGTGCGTTAAATCATGTTCATGGTACTCCATCCTCTCCCCCTCCCACTACTCCAGGGAACTAAAAATTGGGAAGTTAAGTTGACGGGTCAAAACGCCTGAGAATGTTACCCCACCCTGGGAGACCCAGGCCAGTAAAAGCACTTAAGAATTTGCAATGATTCCCTTACTTATCCTGTGAGTTGCACAGCCTCCCTGTTAAGAGCCACATCCACATGTTAGCTTCACTTGCTTTTTTTTTTTTTTTTTTTTTTTAAAGCAGCCCTGTCTTAATGGTTTTGAGAATTTCAAAGAAAGGGAAGGAGTGGATGAGTGGATTTGTGTTTACACCTGGTGCCTGGAATCCATTCTATTCCATTCCATTCAATTCAAAGCAGCTACCAATTGAGTATCTCTCTCTAGCAGGACTAGGGCTAGGCAGGACTAGAGTGCCACCCAAAGGAGGACTCTGCCTAGGACACAATACAGGTGACAGTATAGGTAACCCGAGAGAAGGGAAGGGAGAAGCCACAGCGATGATTGGATAGAGTGCCACCAAACAGGATGACAGGGACTAACAGTTGGAAAAGACAATAAAGAAACTTAATGAAGATCAAAAAGATGGTCAGCCCTGAGATGATGAAAGCCATCAAATGTCAGTAACATGACCCATCAGCTAAGGAATTTTTCTCTAATTTATTTATATGAAATGATTACCTAGTTGAATATGTTAAAAATACTGCTTTTCCCTGTTTCCAACTTTCATATTTTCGTTTCTTAGTCCTATTTTCAAAATATTTATTTATTGCACAAATAAGTCTCTGGAGAAAACCTCATATTGGATCACAGTTCAAACTCATCAGACATTACTGAGGCTCCATTGCCTATATTCAGTGTTCTTGTATCCCAGTTGGGCTTTCCAGCCTATCTTCATTAACTGGTATCGTCAACCTGCCTCCTTTTCCTGGGAAAGCCTTGCCAAGTAATTTCTACATTTCATCTCCCTGTCTATAGTCTTAGTTATGTCTTCTGCCTCAGTATGGCCCGTGAGGATTTGCACAATAATCAGTAAATACTGCTTAACTGATTAACCGATAAAAAACTGATAAGTGATTAATGTTTAGACATTTAAAAATCATGATACATACTTTCCCCAAAATATCTCTGCAAATTGTTCTGTTTTCATAAACAATAGTGTGTGTATATATATGTAAACATATGTATATACACACGTATATATATGTGTATAGACATATACACATTTGGAGCTCTAGAAAATTACAATATTATTTTTAAATGAATTTTTTATTCATTTTTGAAAGAGACAGAGAGAGAGAGAGCACAGGTAGGGGAGGGGCAGAGAGAGAGGAACACAGAATCCAAAGCAGGCTCCAGTCTCTGAGCTGTCAGCACAGAGCCGGATGCAGGGCTCGAACCCAGGAACCCTGAGATCATGACCTGAGCCAAAGTCACACACCTATCCGACTGAGCTACCAGGCACCCTGAAAATTATAATATTATTGAATTAGAAAGAAATAAAAAGAGAAATTATAAAATTCTATCTTATTGAAATAAAGTAGGGTTAAAACATGCTTGTATGATCAAGGCTATAATTATTGGGAACTTTAACTTTCTTTGGGGGTTAACAAATACTTTGAATTAAAAATTTTTTTATAAAGTTTATTTATTTTTGAGAGAGACAGAGGCAGCATGAGTGGGGGAGGGGCAGAGAGAGAGGGAGAGAGAGAATCCCAAGCAGGTTCTGCACTGTCTGCACATAGCCTCATGCGGGCTTGAACTCACAAAACCATGAGATCATGACCTAAACCAAAACTAAGAGTCAGATGCTTAACTGATTGAACCACCCAGGCACCCCTTGAATTTAAATTTTTGAAAATCTTCTCTAAGACTTACAAACTAATGGTGATAACCAGCACTACCAGTGCTGTGGTTAGTTTACTTCCATATGTGTTAGGAATCTTATGACAATATTTATTAATCTTCCTCATTTCACATCAATGCAAATATAAAGACTGAGAAAGTAGTTATTGCTGGAGAATTAAATTTAGATTCAGTGCTCATTTTCTGAACTTCAATAAATCTTAACACAAGTCAATTTCAGGCAAGCTATTTTCTTAACTAATTTTATCCTGACTGACAAGAAGACATGTTATTGAGTAAACTGAGGCTTAGAGAAGATTAAAAACTAGGGTCACAAACTAGTCATTACATGGGGTCACTTGACAGCAAATGCTAAGCTCTAGACTTTGTACAATATACTCTTCTATTTTAAATGAGATCTAATATGATTAGATCCCTGTGACAATTTGGAAATATGGGTGAAAATTAGAAGTACCCTGAGAGGTTAGAGACTGAACTGATTAAGAATTTAGAACACAGAGTCTATGAAATAAAGCAAAGTAATTGGGATTACTGGTTAGTATCTCAAAAAGAAAAACTTATACTTCATACAAAAGTATTCTCCTTAGAGGTAATCTAATATATTAAGTATAATTACTGGAGTAAGTAGGTTCTTGAGTTAAACTCCCTAGATTCATGCCCAAGAACCACCATGTGGTAGCTGTGTGATCTAGGAAAAGTTATGTAGTTTCTGTGAGCCTCAGTTTTCTCAAACATAAAATGGGGATAAAATACTGCTTTTCTCTGAAGAATGTTATGAGGATTATATGAGATGAGCCCATGAAACATTTAGCAAAAATGCCTGGATTACAGTAAATAGAAATGAATCATTCTTCTTCTTCCCAGTTGTAGGAGAATTAGAATTAGACAATGGGAACACAGGGCAGGGCCTGTGTGGGATGGGCCCTAAGGAAGTGATACCATTTGCTAGGCATCAAAAGGGAGGGTTAGTGTTTGGCCAAAATCATCTCTATCAACTCTTATCATTATTTCTGGAATGTTTACCTGAAATACTTACTTTGTATTAGGGAATTATCTTGAACATATCCCTATAAAATGGGTATACATTAAGAAATTAAAGCCCATTATGATATTAACAAGGATTTGCTTTTCAAATTAGCTACGTGTCAAGGGGATTTTTTAAAACAAGAAAAAATATTTCACTAAGGAGTTGGAAATAGGAGAGGGTCTAGAGTTCTGCTTCTGATATAGGTCAGTGTTCTTTGGTAGTTAGATCATGGGTTCTCAAAGCCACAGGATAAATAAGGTACTCCCACCCAGATAGAAGAGCAGTGTCAATTTTTATTCAATCATAAATACTTTTTAAGTTGTTTTATGTTAAAATAACAGATTTTTATAAGAAAAATATAAAATTACATTTTTTAAAAGTTAAATATGACGTTTAAAATACATTTTAGCATTGGGGCACCTGGGTGGCTCAGTTGGTTAAGCTTCCGACTATGGCTCAGGTCATGATCTCACAGTTCCTGAGTTCAAACCCCGCATCATGCTCTCTGCTGTCAGTGCAGAGCCCTTTTCAGATCCTCTGTCCCCTCTCTCTCTGCCCCTTCCCTGCTCACGGGCTTTCTCTCCCTCTCAAAAATAAACAAACATTTAAAAATACATACATACATACATACATTTTAGAGTAGCATCAAATTGTACTTTCTTCCCTCCTTTCCACCTCAGAGGTGTTAAGGGTAGGTGGTATTTACAAAGATTTCATAAAGATTCAGACTTTAAAAATTTTACTATGTATGTATTCAGGGAGTTGCTTTCCAAGACAGTGATGCTAACTCACATGGGGAGCTTAGTTTATTTAGTTGAATAAGTTTTAAATTCCTGTTGTGTACTGGACTCCAGCACTACGTTCTGCAGAGGCAAAAATCGGTAGAACACTTGTTTTTCTACTGAAAATCTGCTGTCCATTAATTTCTTTCACTTGTAACTAGGGACAGAAAACAAGCAGTTTTGGTCTCAATTATAACATTGCCATATTTCATCTTAAGCCTGTTAAATTAAACAGTCCAGTGAAATTACCATATTAG